TCTACTAATGTGGCTGGAATTTTGGGGGTACATGAACGCTCCATTTTAGGCAGTGGAATGAACGTTTAATGTACATACGGTCTCCAACCAGGAGCAGGCAATCTGTAGGGAGAGCAATCTTCAATGGGTACCATTGAGCTCAAATAACTCGAGTCCCGAGAATGAGCGAGTCAGAAGGGACATGGTTAGAATGTGATCCAATGAGAGAGGAAATTAGTGCATGGAAATTTCTATCCCTGTTGCCTGCTAAAATACTTTAGTGGCCGCTGCGTAAAAGGCCGTTGGGAACTTTTTCAGTCTTTGTTGGATTTAGGTTAATGTCAGTCAGAATTCAGCTACGATTTGTTGACTCGGTGTGGAATATTGCGGGAAAAAACTTTTGCCCATCATCTGCCCATCGGCTTCTCATGTACACTGCGACGCATAATCATAGTTCCACCTGCAAATTTCCCAAAAACTTCCATTTTCATGTAAAATCAATGGATATTAATGGAAAACGTCTGGGTTTGCTCAGACCGCTGAAAATTGCGTACTCGTGTTTATTCAATTAAGGAAGAGTGTCCAGACCACTATTTGGTGGATACAATAACGTCTACTTTTGTCGAAACTGTCAGTTAACTTAACTGCGAATATCGGTGTTCCTTCTTTCTTCGTATGATGCAGCAAACCGAGAAGTAGTAACTTCCGCGGTACAGGTTTGGGTCGTTCAAAAAAGGGAGATATATTCTCATCAGGATCTCCCTCTCGTATGAACTGCTTCAAGTTCGTGAAAGAAGTGGTGTATAATCTGCGTTTCCTCCCAACTAATTTCGAGAGGCTGAGTCATACTAGAAGAATGGCCGAGAAAAGGCCCTACACTTCTTTTGATCTCCTACAAACGACGTTAGTTATAGGAAGACAATCTCGTTTTATGTTCTGCTGTACTCATTCGCTTTTTTACGCGCCACACGCCTCCGACCTATGTTTGCAATCCTGAGCGGTTCCTGTAATCGAGTTTGATCTACAATGATCACAGACCAAGCCTTGTTTGAGCCAACGTTTAATATCTGTGAACAGTTCTGGTACCCAGCAAATGAGCGAAGATAGGTTTTTGCTGGGTTAGGAGTGGAGTTTGATCCACAGAAGTGCGCCACGGCGTCGTTAGACATTATGCTGCGTACACCTTACACGAGCCTCACAATATGTTTACCTTAGTTTGTTATCACTTCCTTCTTTTTTGAATTTTATGGTGACGCTACTGTAGCTTCGATAAAGCGTAACCGATTTTTCATTCTTTACCCTCGTATAAAACCAACACTTTTGTTGGAAAAGTCGCTACTAGGAGTGTGATCCGAGCCTCTCTCTATCTAATCCTTGTTGCCTTGTTTCACACATTAAAAGCATAAAAAAGTGTAGCTATATATTAGGTTGTCTCATAAACAGTGTCGCTTTTTTTCATCCAAAAAATTTTCATCTAAACCTCCATGCTTTTACATCGTGTTGTGTACCATTCGAAAGAGAATTGTCTGCTCTACAAAATGCTATGTCCCACTTCCACATTTCTTCCAGGGTTTTCAAATTTTGGGCCTGTGAAATGGGAGGTCCGGCCGACAAAAAATGGCCAAACCGACAACTATCTCTAACATTATCTTTCCTTGGGAGAAATCAATCTATGATGTACCTTCTACTTATGCATGACCTCTTCTAATCATTACACTACTAGGTTTTCCTACAAATCGCGTCGTTCAATTTCCAGAGCTGGTTTTTCAACCAGAACTCGACGATCGAGCACCATTACCTGTGATCTAGGTCGAAATTTTTTTATGGCCGAGACGTTGAAGAACTGGTTGAATTTGAAGAACAAGTCATGACTAAGTTAGGAATGTACGACTGGTTGATTTTCTCATTTTCTAAGGGATAATTTTTTTCAAAGAAATGTGGTCACTTTCGCGGTAAAGCACCTTATACCGAAACATCTAAAATTCGAACTAATTCCCAACAAACAGAGAAACAAAACAAATGAGCGAGTAGAGCAGAAGAAGTGCTCGTAAAAGGAACACCACTCGATATGAAACAATGACGTTTACGAGGAACAATTTTAATTTGAAAATTGCTATGGCTTATCCGTCAGCCAATTCGAAAAGAAAAACGGCAAAGCTTTTTCGGCAACCTAAGAGTGGAATGTTTAGAAGAGGTCATGGGTAAGTATAGGGTATATCACTGGTTGATTTCTCCCCAGGGAAAATAAAGTTACAGCCAGTTGTCGGTTTGGTCAATTTTTGCCGGCGAGACCTCCCATTTTGCTGGCCTGAAATTCGAAAACTCTGAAATAGCGGTGGAAGCGGAACACAGCATTTTGTAGAGCAGACAATTCTCTTTCGAATGATATATAAAACGATGTAAAAGTTTCATGATTTAGATGAAAATTTTTTGGTTGAAAAAAAACGACATCACTTATGAGACAACCTAATATTTAGTTCTCAAATAGCGTTTTTTAGTTTTGCATTTTACAATAATTTGGGACAAAAATTCGATGCCTTCTCAGCTAACTGCTTCAAAAAAAAAATATGCTTGTGTCCGGCCTCACTAAAAGTTGTGGTCATTAAAGAAGAGCAGCTCTAAATGCTCATTTCCCGACTCGTAGAAGAGGAATTACAGCAGACATTACAGCAAAGCTGCAATTGCGGTTGACGTTGCCCTTGACAAGCGGAAGATAAAAACTATAAAAAGCAAACGCATCGTGCATTTTGCCCGCGTCGTTTTGTGCGTAAAAATGTATCGTGGTTGCACAAATTTCGGTGTTCTGCTATCGAGTGCTGGCGCATTGGTTAAATGCCTGGTGTCACGATTTCAGTGCCCGTTCGATCGAATTCTTTTACCAGGCCTACCACGTAGCTCTTCCATTTTGTGCATTAATTGTTGAAGGCCACGTAGCGTGTGCGAGAGGGTGGCAACTGCTTCCAGAATGTGATATACCCTAGATGTTGCATGTGGCGCATTCTTAAGGAAGTAATCAAGGCCCAGCAGAATGTCTGCTGTTCTTTTCGAATTCTTCACTATTCTACTCTCTTTTAAGTTCAAGTGCGGTGCAGCGGTTGGAAGCTTTTTTGGTTGCGGGCGGTTTCCGTCGGTCAGGGTCATTTAACCTCTACGGGGCGTGCGCGAATGGCTATCGCCGAAGTGTTGCCGTAACCTAGACAGTACCAATGAGGAGCTTGCGGAGAGATTTGTGGAGTGATCCTTAATTTTGGCTAGCAGATTGTGTTCACTACAACGGCTGGAATAAGAAACGTTCAAATGGTACGAAAATTCCAGAATTTTGATCTATTTGAACAATACTAAACGGTCGGAGTTATCGGAACTGGTACATCCATCCACGGTGCATAAAGCACCCGATGTGCTCAAGGCAACAACCCCAGATGAGGTCGTGCCAAAGAATCTATTCTGTAGGTGGGATAGAGTAGCCCAAGAGTATCCAGAAAGTGTCGTTGTCGCGACTGGAGAGTGCGTGACAATCGCGCTAGGGCTTCAGCATTGAGCTAGTAATAGCTCATGGATTGGAACGAGATACCTTGTGCACACCCCATAACACGCATATGGATCACGAGGTGGCTGCTAATTTGATAACGCTATAGAGCAAACAAGTTCAGACAAACTCGTCTGGAAGCCCCTCGTTCATTTCAAGGAGGACGAAGAGGAGGTTCCTTGGTTGTGGGATTCATTGGCGGTTTGCTAGTTCCTTTTTTAATCTTCAGTCGAATCGACATCCGCAATTTCATTATCGACCGCTGTCACCGCATCAATTTGATCTTGGGTTTTTGCTTTAACTGCTCCGAGATTTACCAAGGATTTCTTTTGTTTCGCTGACATCTTACTGCAAAGAGCCTCCCTCTGCGCAGTTCGGCAGCCTTTGATAAAAGATTTGTCGATGGGGTCGATGGGACAGGATGAGCGACTTTCAAGAAACGAATGTAGCTAAACGAGGCACGCAACGGCCAAGGCTATCCTCCTTAAGGATCGTTACTAGTCTTCATCTTCAGCTCCTTATATGTCTTACTGAAACTATTCTTGACTTCACAAAAGAACACCCAGCGATAGACGGGGGGGGGGCGCTCATGTATATGGCACAATCAATCTAAAAATGTCCCCAGAAGTCGCGACACCCTGCTGATCCTGCATTTAGCTGATGGTCGCAGCGCGTGGCCGCCCGATCTGTCATTGGCGAAAGGCTTAGTATGCAGCCAGAATGTTCTGAATGGAATGTAATCACCAACTGAAAAATACGACCTTTTATCCGTGGATCTCAGGATGGGGCGTTGAAACATCAGTTTCGCCGACTCCGAGGCGTTGCCGCTTTCGCGTGTCAATGACGTAGCAGATACACTTTTCGTCACCACGCCGCTGCTCGACGAGAACTGAACAGTACAAATGTCCAGCTGGGGCTGGTCTCAGTCAACGATGGTTCGCGGGGAATTGCTTTTTTGCTTTTTCAGATGTCATTGTTGATAATTAATCGGAGCAGCCCGTCCCTTCCATGTACCACCTGTGGAAGTTTAGGGTACCCCCCAGGAGGCCCGTCGCGCGACAAGAAGGCGAGTCAGCGGACGAGTTGCGCGCGTACTGTAGGGATTTCGCGTCAAGTTAAATAGAATGTCCCATTGCACGTCCTACATCGCATCACGCGCTGCGACTCGTCCGCGACTCTGCCTTCTTGCCGCGCGACGGGCCTCCTGGGGGGTACCCGGAAGTTTACAGAGAATTCGGTAGCATCACTATAAAAGTGTATCAAAACTTGCCTTTAAGTTTGTTGGTATGGGTACAGTGCACGGCGCACACCAAGAGCTGCACTGAAGCCAAGCGTTTCTTTTTTTCTGACATCTTGTACTATTTATCAGAGCAGTTAGAAATGTAACCCTGCAGCTGCTATTCTCGACGACTAATCGTAGCATTCGTCTAAGCAGCTTATACCGGCTTATCAGTAGCTCTTTTTTATTCATAAATTTTAAGGAAGCGCCGCAGAGATGGGGACGACGAAGCAACCTCAGATTCGCATAATTGTATTGGAGAAAGGACAGCACTTGGACACTGTAGTGCGCCGACTTGAGAAAGGTACGCTGACGCTTCAATATCGCGGCGGTTGGTTTAAAAGCGCAATTCACTGAATTTCAGGGGAAATCGTTCGTTTTCATCGTGGAGGATCCCTTTTGGGCGTGAACGTGAGCGTTCGTACCACTCTCACTGGAGCCGAACCGTTGAAATGGACGAGTGGTACCGATCACTTGGCAGTTTACTGCCAGGTAGAATGCACCCGTGCTGGCGCCTTCAAGTACACCTTCACCGCCGATGAAGAGTGAGTCTCGATAAATTTCCTGTGAGGTTCTCAACAATTCAGATGTGTGTTTAGAGAAGGTGGCAGTGGATACTTTTTGGTGATGCCAGAGCTGATTGTGAATGGGAAACGCCTTCCATTGGATGGAATCGCATGTCAAACTCACCTTACTAAACTATTAGGTAACCTTTGAAATTGGGAGTCAAGCTAGTTGAGTGCGTTCCAATTCAATTTCACATTCTACAGGTCAGAGTCATACTTAAAATTTAAGCACAAGTCATTTGCTCGAAAGAAGCTTAGGACTAAGCTGAGACCCATCCATAGGCTTAAGCCAATATGTAAGCATAAGCCTAAGCCTAAAGCCTGAACTCAAGCATAACCTCAGCCTTGAAATGATCGTCTAGCTCTGTGACCTGCCTTAAGAAGGAAACTGAGCGTCTTCCCTCTCATACTGTTTGGCACCGAGAGCATACCGTTCAGGTAGCTTTTCAAGCTGGGAAGATCGTCTTCGGGTTTCAAAAGAAAGCGGCTACAATATGATTCACCTCACCCCGATACATGAATTGGGAATCTCGAACAGCAGCTACTCACTTAGCGATCATCATGCTCTTATCCAGTCCATTCAAGAGGTAGGTGTCTCCTCTGGTCACAAATTTTGAATAACTCATCGCTCGCCGAGTGTGAAGTCGTGATGTTTCGATTAGACCTAAATTAATGAAAGATTTTTTTTTTTTTTTTTATGGATCGTGCGTGTAACCTGATCTGCTGCATGACCCTTCCACCGGGTTCCGCTTTATACGGTGCCCAATCAGGGGCGGTATTGAGTGTATGTAGTCCTTCCTTGTGTCTGGACCATATACAGTTTCATCTTCTTGCTTGCTGAAGAGCATGGGAGGGAAGACATTCTGCTGCAGAAGAGACCAGCCCGACAACCCTATAGAAACACTTTTTGTTACAGAAGTAATAATAATTTATATTTTCGTAATTTCTTTTCAAGCTAGGAATTTGGTTCACCCACCCCAGAGCTTCTTCTTCGTGCACATATTTTGAATACTGTGAACAGCGCGATTATTTTCATCCCAATACCCCCTACCATTTTCACTTGCGCCAGCGCTTTCTGCGTGGTGTGGAAGAGCATCACTTATAATTCGTTCAGAGAGTATTTTAAAGATAGGATAAACGGGTTCAATGTTTGCGTTCCAGAACGTATACAGCAACATACGGACGATATAGTGAATTACCGCAACCTAGCGTCCTTTACCGCTAGAACGCAACCAAACAGCTTTCAATGGGCGATGCAGCTATTCTTACTGGTACACCAAACCGGCAAGCTCGATAGCGTAGCTGTCAAGGGCTCAACCTTTGCCATACGTTGGGATTTTTGATGCATCTCGCTGGCCTACTTCTCCTTTGCTGGTTCCGTTCCATCTTAGGGGGCGGTGTTTAGAGTTCTCGATCGAACGTTTTCTTATTGAATCGTCTTCATTCAGGAAAACCATCATGTCACTTTTGACGATGTGGAGAAGCTAGTGCAGAAGATCGAGAAGGAATGGAATATGCTAACTGTGCAGGACGTCGTTTGGAATCATGCAGCCAAAAATGCTAAATGGCTCCAGGTTTCTTACTTTTTTGATCCTTACCTGGTTTATT